ACATGCCACTTAAATACCTCTTTTCATCTCCTTTTTGATGTTATATTTCAAATTTTACAAGAGAGTGTTAACTTTAAGCAATTACTAACATCAACCAGGTCTCCTATACTAAACTTTTAGTAGAAATCATGGTATCTCCACAGCTCGCTAGGAAAATCCTTATGCAGAGAGACCTGACTCAGATGTAAATTTTGGTTACTATTTTCAGAGACTGTCTGCTCTTCCTTGGTCTGGCTCTAGTCATCATCATTACCAGGGATCTTATCTGAGTTAACTGTGGTAGAGTGGTTGCTTCTCTGTGTTACTAAAATAAAAAAAATAAAAAAGATGAAGATACTGATAGTTAAGTTGCCACTCTTTGAGGATGTGTTTTGGCTTTAATACTTTTAATCTGCTCATTATAGTGGAGGCCCACATGTAAATGCTGTCCATCTATTGTTATATGATGCAGTGATTGAGGAAACCCAAATCTAAGAACATATTTCCATGAATAGTCCCTACTTTCTAAATGAGACTTATTTAACATTATTTTATGAGCAATCAGATTATTTTATTTCTGTACCTCTGGGCAGTTGAAGTACTGATCTATGTATAGTTGCTTTTAATTAAAAAGAAGATTTGCTGAATATATTATTAGAATTGAATTTTTATTTGAAATGCCCTATTTTCTTAGATCTGACACGTGAGATCAAGCTAAGTATAGAACCTCCTCGACTTTTATTCTGATTACAACAGCATGAGAGATGGAAACAGCAAAGGAGTATTTTATCAGTGCCAAATTATTTTCTGCAGCTAATGGAGGGAGTCTCTGAATGTTACTTGGTGTTGATATAGTTAAGATTATGCCAATATTTACAGTACACTGTGCCTTTATATTGTGTCCTTCGTAAAAATTGCCAGGGATTGTATACTTTCAAGCTAATTAAAAGTAGCAAAAAACATATTTTTAAATTTGTTCTTAAAATGGAACAGATTTTACTTTGAGTTTTTGCCAGAAGCTGGTTTCTATAATAACCCTCTGTCACAGGCTTCTATTATAATTCTACTTGAGTTTTTTGTTAAAGAATATTATTGTTACTCATTTTAGAAGTGTGTGTGCCTTTTTCATTTTCATTTGGTGGTGTGTTAGAAATTGAGTGAAGGTGCCTTGTAACTTCACAGGTGTTTGTGCTTTTCCACAGCAGAATTTCTCAGGCTTTGCTCTGCATAGCAAACCTCTAGTGTTAGATCTTGTGTTGTTTGCCTAAAATAACAATTTCATTTTAGTCACATACATTGTAAAAATGAAAGAGGGCATTTCATTAAATAGTAATTAACTGAGACTCTTGTGACATGTGTACAATGATGGTCAAAATGTGTGAAATTGTAAATGCTCTTTTCTATGTGGTTTTGTTTAAAAAAAAAAAAAGACTTGAAAATTTTTTTTCTGGCCTTGCCTTTCCCAATCCTGCCCTGTTCATTTTACAGTTAGCATAATTTATAATTTAAGATGATGTATATCATTCAGATGTTGTAGTGGTGTTAGGGGGAGGCAGCAAATTGAACTTGAGGAGAGCGTTTATTTCTAAGCACCCTCGAGTGACTAAGGGCATAGCATACAGTTAGGTGACTTGTATTTGGGAATCTGTTTGTAATTCTTGTGGAGACTTTTCACTAAGAGTTGTGGATATTGGGGAAATTTGGCAGTGACACTTGGAACTACACTAATAATCAGGACTGATATAGAATATCTGGTGGCTTGGGAGTTGTCTGGATTCTTTCTTCCCATTCCATGTGCTCATTTGGAAAAGGTGACTTTCCCAAATAGAGCAAGATGTTCTTTGATTAAGCATATAGGTGAGAAGGACTTTGGACTTTAAATGCTTTGATTTTGGAAACACCTTTTTTTCTTTGACCAAAACACATTATTTTCCCCCTCTGTCATCCAAAGCCAACAAATGACCTGGAGAAAGCCATAGCAATGGTTGGGCAAGATTGTTACATTCCAGCATTTCCAGTAGGATTAAAGTCCTCTGTTGGATTAGAACAGCCCCCCCCCCACCCTTCCAGCTTTTTCAGAATAGATTTCCTGAGCCTTGTTTTTATTTTTCTTTGGATAAAACTGTTTTCAGGTACCTAGAAGAGAGTCTCTCATATGAGGGCTGTCTGGAAATTATCCAGCAATAATTTTCATACGTTTTTGTATTAATGACTGGATACTTTCTGGGCAGCCCTTGCATAATGGGATCATTATATTATAATAGTGTTTCTCTCTCTTAAACTAACATTTAATATAGATTCTATTTGTGGAAAGTAAGCGATAACTACTAAGGAATCATTTAGCTCCAGATTCAATCTATGCATAAAGTTGTTGTAAATTAATAAATCTTTGATTGATTGATATCTACTAATCAGTTTTATTTATATTTTATGTACAGTTTTATGTATAGTTGTGCACCATGAGAAAATATTAGAAATGCATTGTATTAATGCTGTAACTCTTACCAGTTGTAGCAATGCAAATTCTCATTTTGAGATTTCCATCTAAATATTCTACCATATCAACGGTTGTCATAGTAGCAGTCTCAATTGAGAATTGTGATTATATACTTTATCAAATGACTATTTGATGAAAGCTCAATTATTCTAATGTAGTTTAGCCAGAATTCTGAGCCATCATCTTGCCTGGTTAAGGGAATAATTAACCAACCTAAAGAAGAAATTCCTTTATTTCTGTTGAATTACACAGATTTTTACCTTATTTCACTGACTGTAAGGTGCCATCAGTTGTAAGACATGCCATTATTTTATGTGCCACTAAGAAAGAAAAAAAAGCCTAATGGTTATGCTCATGAGATGCTATCAATTAAAAGATACAGTCCAATTTCAGAGATGTTAAAATGTGGGGAAGGAGAAGGAATTTTAGTCAATAAAATACAGCACATAAATATACTCACAGAGTTTTAGTTGAGTATTGGTCATAATCATATTATTAAAATGCAAAGAAAACTATATTAAATAAATCACTATTTCTGCCAAACATTATACAAATTCTTTAATCCCAAAAACCTAGAATTGGAAAAGATAGGAGATCTTGTAGTCAATACTGACACATTAGGAAACCTATGAGACCATCCAAAGTATGTAAAAATTAGCCATTGATTGCCTCTTTTACCAAAGTATCTTAAACTTTGCAGAAGAAATTATAGTAGTATTCCTTTAGATAGAGGTCTTTAGAGTATCTCATGATAAATTTTATATACCCCTTTTCAAGATTATTTCACTTAATATTTGAAAGGGAATAATTTGGGATTTAGATGAGTTTAGTATTACAAACAAGGGGCACACTGACACTGAGACACAGTATGTTTAAGAGCTGTAATTGTCAAATATGTTAAATGCCATATGGAATTTTAAAACGAATCATTGTTCCTGTCTTCTGAGAGTTGTCACATTCTACCTTTTGGGTATTCTTTTTTTTTCCCCCCAAATTTAAAGTACAGTTCAAGGTTAACTGGCTCTGTGTGGTAAAAAGGTGACTTAGTAGAACTTATTATGAGCTTTATTTTTCTAAATAGCACCGAGGTATGCCTTTCCCATATGCTTGCTTTAGTTATCACCTTTGATGCTAGAATGCAAACTGGGTTGTTATTTGAGAGAGGCCAACATGAATTTCTAGTATAGACATTGCTAGGTGACTAGGTGACCTACTTGCAGCTTTTGGTTCTCTCAGGAAGTGGGTACAACAGGCCATCAGCCAGCAGGTGGCCTCATGGAGGTTTGAAGTCCACAGCAGACACCCAGCCTGCAGTGTGGGTTCCAAGTGCAGATTTGGAACTAACACTGCAGGATTTGGACACTGGATGTGGACCTGATCCGTACCACATTGCTTGAATCTTGATTATTGTTGAACCTTACCTGCAAAATCAGAGAAGATTCCAGCAACCTAGGACCTGCTTGGCCAAACACGTGGGGCTAGAGCAAGCCTGCAGATGGGATGAAATGTCAGTAGCTGTGCAGCCTGAGAGAGTACAAGGACAAGAAGCCAGATTAATCTTTGTGTTTTTGTCTTTGTGGTTTTTGAATCACAAAGGATATTTCCTGCAAATTGCTACCAACAGTGATAGCTTACTTTGTAGAGTGTTTTCAACTTATCAGAGTGCTTTCACAAACATAATATTCTTGTCTTCATAATAAACCTGGTTGGGGGGGGGGGCTGGGTAATTGGCCCATTTGGCAGATGAGGAAAGTGAGGCTCACAGATACTAAGTAACTAATCTTAAGGTCACTTGTTACTGGCTCTTGTTTTTTTCATTATACCATATTGCCAATGTTTGACTCCATATTTATTTCTAAATTTAGAAAGTTTATAGTGTGTTTTCCAGCAGCTGCTTCTGTCTTTGGGGACTGCCAACATTTTGTTGCCTATCTTTTTACCTCCCAAATCACAAGCATAAATTTTCTCAGTATTGAAGGGAAAAATAAGCAAAACCAAAACACGTTTTCATCATAACTTATCAGGTTAAAACACTCTCCTCTGTTAGGTTCTAGTAATCATTTTTGGAAGTGGTGTTTTTTCAGTCTGTCTTACCTTGTTTAAACCTCCGTTAACCTCACTGCTGTAGCTTTTGAGGTATCTTATAGTAAACCACATACAAGTCCAGACAAGGAGTCCAGAGTTAGAGCAAGTTAAACAAGAGTTGTCAGCATTGTTAGTTGTTGACATTGAACTTGATACTAACCATGAATGGCTGGTTTTCTAACTTTCATTTTACCTGGAGAGCCTCTTCTGTTTTTGAGCAGCTTCCTTGAGACTTTTTCTTCCTGTTAGAGTTCCCCTCCATTTCTTTCCAGAAAGTGTCCTTTCAGCATTTTTTCCTATAGTGTGCTTCTGCAGGGGTGTGGAGTATATATGTTTATGGTTTTCATCTCTTTAAACTTTGCACATGTATTTTTCTTTTAAAGTAGATGAGAAATATAAAAATAGAGCATTATGTAAGGATGCGTGGGGTAATTACTGTAGGTGAAAATTAGAGTAAGTAGAACAAACAGAGCATGCAGGCAGGAGATCTGCCTTCTGGTCCAGGCATGGCCCCACTACTTAGCTATGGACTTTTCACAAACCCCTTAAACTTCTGATACCCAGTTGCTTTATCTGTCATAAAAGAGTTGCATTTAAATGATGTCTAGAGTCCTTTTCAATTTCAAACCTCATTCCAGTCTCCAAACTGAATATATAAGGTTGTATTAAGTAAAGGTGGGATTTGCTGGCAAAACTTACAGTGGTGAAAAGGATGATCTAAGTGAGCTTAAATTCTGTTGATAATTTTGTTATTATTGGGAATTGAATGAAGTGATTCAACTGTCTAGCTATTATAAAATCAAATGAAACCCAGTATTATTAGCTAACCTTTTAGGCTTGCTTCCTAATCTTGCTCACCATTGTATACCCAACACCCAGTACACCCCATGTCAGCATGTTGTATTTTAAAATACTTTCATAAAATATTGATGGGTTTCTTGGCCTATTTACCTCATTAGGGCAGACTAACCATGTCTCAAAACAGTTCACAAATTCAGGTGGTATAGGAACAAGTGATAGAATGCTAATTGGAAAGAAATTTTAGAGGTAAAATTTGACAATAGATAATGTGCTAGTATCCTTTATTATCCTTCAGCCCAGTGGGTGATGTTTCTGGGCTACAGATTGTAGATGAAGTTTTAACTATATTTAATTAAGGGGGAAAGGAAGACATAAATTGTATTTAATGTAGTAGATTGTAGAAATGAAGAGAGAGAACAAAATGATACTGAAGTTTTGTATATTTAAATCAATCTTAGATTTCCATAACATTTTATTGTATTTTGGGTCATGGATTACTGAGGAGGACTATGGCTTCTCTTTTCAGAAAATAAATGCACACTGCCAATTTCACAGGCCTTTTGAGGGGTTTCATGGAACCCTCATCATCTGGCGGTCCCTAGTCCAAATTCTTGATAGAAAAGAACCCTAGAATGCTGAACCTTAAATGCCCTTAGAAATAATCTAGACCAGTGTTTCTTAACCTGTTTGTGAGATTAATGGAATGGATCAAGGTCAACATTAAAAAGAAGAAGAAAGGAATAAAATGGAAAATATCAGTATATCATATAACATGCCAAGTAAGTTTTGTGAATCGTCTCTTTGAATTTGTATGCTTGTGTGTGTGTGTTAGTACTAAGTCAGAATATGAAATGTATTTCTTTCTGTGGATTTAGCATTAAGTGCTAGAAACTCATCTATTGCTAGATCATCCTCTTCTTTTTTTTGCTGAGAAAACCAAGGACTTTAAAGGCTAAATGATCTGTTCAGATCCTCCCTCACTGTTTTATTGTAAATGGCCCAGTCAGAACAGAACTAGATTGATTGCTAATTTTACCATGACACAATTTTAAATAGACTCGTGAAGTAGATTATTTAAAAATATTAAGTTGTTCATCTGCTTCACACTTGGAATTTTTTAATTCTTTATTCTTCCCACTAAAATTATATGTGACATTATCCTTTGAAATAATCTAACCTGGAGCTTTCTTTCCAGAGAATGGACAGATATCTTAGGCCCTCTCAGTTGGCTATCTGCACACCTGAATCTTAGAATTTTGATATTTAGGGCCTGATTAGAAGAATTGCAGAACAAGATATGAGGGGTCATTGAGTTTTTAATGTCCAAACCAAATTAAATTACTTTAATTCAACTTGATAGTTGAATGTAGAACGTGGTACTAGGTGTTGATACTGGATCCTTGGGAAGACACTATATAATGGCCCTAAGTTATCTGTGTGAGATTGTCTCAAACTTTAATGCCATACTACTGGAAGAGTCTTGTTAAAGGCAGTTTCTGATACAGGGTCTTGCTGAGACTCTGGATTTCTAACAGGCTCCCTGGAGATGCTGCTGCTGCTGGTGGTCTTTGGATTATACTGTTAGTAGCAAAAACCTGCATTACCTGCCTTATTACCATAGTAAGAAAAGGTAGCTCTCAGATTGTTTTTCTGTCTTAATGTTAAACATCCACGTTCATCAGTCCCCACATACATTCGAGTAATAATGCCTCTGTTTGCAGCACTGTTTTAGGTGATTCATATTTAGCACTACTTTGTTTAACTAGATTTTTTCAGGATTTTTCTATAAAAGTTGTCTAAATAACTGAAATCTTTAATTTCAGGAAGAGCATTTTCTAAAATATTGCATAATTTCTTTCTCAAACTATTATATGCACTTTTTCCTTTAACTTAGTGGTGTAAGAACCATGTTTTTTTTTTGGAGATTTTCTTGGCGATGGATATTGAGCTTATATGCAAAACGAATAAAAATCACAAACCTTCCAAATTCTTATATCTGTGTTTTATGGTTATTTTCCTATTTTGTTTGTCCACCTGCCAATTAATAGTACGTCTGCCTCAAAGGAGTTGTTTTCCCTTTCTGTTCTAATTGATTACTTTTGACTTGAAAAGCCAGATACTAGATTTGTTAGAGAGATGTATGGGATTAATCCCAGTCAGAAGGGCCTGCCTGGTGTGGGGGGGTTCAGTGGTCAGGAAGTTCAGTAAGTTGAGCAGGAGAGAAATCCTTTCGTTTTAACTGTATTCTGAATAGTTAGCTGAAATAGGTGCTTTGTTTCTTCTTCATGCCTTTCTCCATGCACTTTTTAAACTGGTTTCTAGATGTCTCTCTAGCATTGTGTGTTAAAGGTAGTTTAAAAGAGTGTGTTTGTGTGTGTTAGCCCTGCTATTGGGAATATGATAATTGTAATAAATAAGCAGCACTTCAGGGTCCATCTAAAGTGGAGATGGGTCACCTTGTGCTAAAGACCATGTTGTTTCTCTTATGTAGCATGTTTTGCAGTGGCGTTGCAAATGGTTTTAAGAATAATAATGATAGTTAAAGAGGATATTCTTTGGTCCAATTTAGTGATTTACGGTTCAAGGGATTTAAAGACTGATTTCTTGTTTACTATCTTTAGTAGATTATTAATTATAATAACAATCGTAGCTCCCATTTGCCGTGTCAGGCAGTCATTATTCAGATGAATATTGTGCAACAAGGAGGGCTGTGGCCATGAAGGGTCCATTTGACTGGGGGCTAGTAAATGGCTGCTGTGCTTTGAACAAATGAGGGTAATCCAGATAGATAGGGGTGAGATTAAATCTCTTCATTAGTCCCTCTTACAAATAAATAGCATGTATAGGACCTACAGCAGGTGCTTTTGGTTTTTTTACTTGCCGAAACTAGAAATTGTTAGAGGATTCACATCTATTAAAAACCTATAGTAGCTTATATTCTAATTTAAAGCAGAGGTTCCCTGTTTGTGTTTTAAGTAGGCAGCATCAGACACTTATCATTTTGAATAGCCTTATTATTGGTTCTGTGTTAGAAGTTGTGGATTATATTTAAAATAATAAGACTAAATGTAACAGTCACAGTTAAGTTGGATTTTGAGATCCCGAACAGGGCTTCATCTGACGTATTTTTAGTGAATTACAGCCTTTACACACTGATTACCAAACAAACTCGTCTTATTTGAATCTTATTTGTACATCTAGAGTTTGTCTTATTCTTTAGTGAATTTAAGCAAGCTGGTATAATTTTAGTCTAATTAACAGTGTTGTGTGACCTGAGACTCCTGTCAAAGACCCTTATAGGAGCTAGGAAACACTGGGAGGTAAACTGAACACATGGCCTCAGTGCTTTTCCTTTGCACTGGAATATAACTTGCATTTAAAGAGATGAAAAAAGAAAAGGAAAAGTAACATCCCTTGCCTTAAAGCTATAATAACTGTGTTCAGTATGGTTTTGCTATTAATAATCTCTTTTCGTTTCTAGACTAGAAGATTTTATTTGAAGTATTTATTTAAAGCCAAATGCTACCAAGAAAAAAGATTTTAATAGAAATATAGAATAGATATCTGTCTCTACCTTTTGTTAATTGATCCTGTTTGTTTAACTGGGGAAATACAAGTTTATATCTACTGGAGAGAAATCTGTGGACATAAACCCCTCCCTTCCTGTTTTCAAATATATGTCGCATGTTGTTTATCTTATTTAAATATACAGTAGACGAGAATGCAACTGCTGTTCCTTTAATATCAGAACTACGCACGTTACAATAGGTGTCACTGTTTTGCTTGGTCCAATCCTGATTGGTGGCTTCAGCTATTGGCTGGGAGCACTGGCTGTCTGACTCCATCTGCAGGGCTGTAATACCTACTCTCCTCCGATCCATTCACCACACAACTTCAGCCGGCTGAGCAGACTCACGCAGCTCCAGCACATCTTTCTTGCTAACCTAATTCAGAAAACAAGTGCTACAGCTCTGTGCCTGTCATCTTCGCTCAGTGTAACATTTTCAGGTGATCTAGGAAATGGTTATTTTTCTGAGCAAGTAAGAGAAACAGGAATCATGATGGGGATGTATTTAACAGACCCAGTACTGGATAAAACTTAAAGCCAGTTTCTATTCAACATAGTGAAAAGGTCACCTTGCCTGGCTGAGAAAGAAGCAAAATATCAGCTTGTTGATTTCTGTTAACCTCTTAGCTCGGGCTAGCCTCATTTCCTTGATGTTCAAACCAATTTGGGATATCTAGCTATAAAGAGAGACACACTGTACTCATGGTAGATGACAAGGAAAAGAACATGAAATGTCTCACCTTCTTCTTGATGCTTCCAGAGACGGTAAAGAACAGGTCCAAGAAAAGCTCGAAGAAAGCAAATACCAGCAGCAGCAGCAGCAGCAGCAAGTTGCCCCCAGTTTGTTATGAAATAATTACCTTGAAGACTAAAAAAAAGAAGAAGATGGCTGCTGATATATTTCCCCGTAAAAAGCCAGCCAACTCCAGCAGCACCACCGTCCAGCAGTACCACCAGCAGAATCTCAGTAACAACAACCTTGTACCGGCCCCAAATTGGCAGGGTCTTTATCCCACCATTAGAGAAAGGTAAGTACTGGGCCAGCATGTTTACTTTAAAAGTTTTCCTGTGTTGAAGTTTCTGCTTTTGCATAACCTGTAATGTATTTTAACACAAATCTGTGTTTCCTCTTTTCCCAGAAGCTTTATTGGTAATGGAAAACTGCCTTGTATCTTTTCCAAAACAGTACAGCTGTTTTCCTCTTAGATAAAAATGTTTTTGCAAGCTGTAATGTTTAAGTGACAGGGTTGTGTCCATGGGCCATAGAAGATAGAAACCTTTTATTTGTTCTTAGCCTTATGAAAAGTTTGTATAACTTTTTTTTTTAACTTTGTTTACTGCCCATGTGTTTGCAATGATTACAAACACAGTTGTTTAGTTAGAACCTTTGTTATTTTGCCTTGAAGTTACTAAACTGTTGCTTAGCTTGCGAATCTTTTGTGGGTATGTTGGGGAAGAGAATATTAAAAATGCTGGCTGCTGTGAATTAATGAGTTGCTTCTGTTTATAGAAATGCGGTAATGTTCAATAATGATTTGATGGCAGATGTACATTTTGTGGTCGGGCCACCAGGTGGGACTCAGCGGTTGCCAGGACACAAAGTAAGCAACAGCTGCATGACCAGTTTAGTCTTGAGATTTACAAAGAGGGACCCTCTCCGTAAGCCTGGAACTTGGTGTGGGCAGCTTGCTGATGGCAGACCGTGCATGTTTTACCCGATTCCAGAGAAAGCGTACCCTCTCCAAGGGCTTTGGCCATGCTTAAATTTTTCTTTGTTTCCTTCTACACTGCTTTATTTCTCACACAAAACATGCCCTCTTAACTCTCCAGCCATGGGAAGTTATTGTGACAGCTTAGTAAAGTCATATGTTTACCCTTTTAGAAATCAGTTATATAAGCTTTTATTTTATTTATTTAGTAATGAAAGGACTTGTACATTAATCTCTTAAAGCCTTGAGATAATTAACAGAATAGAGACTGTTTTGCATGAACATCTTGGCTTCCGTGGCAAGATACCTTGTACCTTGGCTTTTTCAAAGCAGCAGGTTTAGGTACTATACCATACCTAAACCTGATTACTTACAGTTGTTTTTCTGGATTGATTTGCTGGAAGTGCTTTCAATTTAGTGTGTGAAATAAGATTTCCCTTTCTACACAGTATGTTTTAGCTGTTGGGAGCTCTGTGTTCCACGCGATGTTTTACGGAGAACTTGCTGAGGACAAAGATGAAATCCGTATACCAGATGTCGAACCTGCTGCTTTTCTTGCTATGCTGAAGTAAGCATCATTCATACGTTTGGAAAGAGTTTGTTTATGCTGTATTTGTACTCTGCTAGTTTCACAGTTAAATGTAAGTTTTGCGTAACAGAAAAGAAGACCGATGAAGAAAGAGGGTGCTGCTTACCTTGTAAATGTTTTTGGAGAAAACTACTCTTCATCTGTCAGTGGAGGGCATATGGAATCATGCAGGCATTTATAATCACACCTCAATGTAGGATTTGGGGGCAAGTGGCATGTATGGTGATTTGATTTTTAATGACTTATAATTAAAGAAAAATAACTTTCTGGTGCAGTCATTATCTGATAGAGCACGTTCTCTCTTAAAGCTTTGTGTATGAAGAAGTCTTCAAAGAAATAAATTATATTTATGTTTTGCTTCACAATTCCAGATACTATACACCTTAGAAATGCCACCAATTGGGAGATTTCTGAGTGTTCTAAGAGTTATGGTCTCCTAACAGCAAATATAAAACTTAGAATCTGTTGAAATAATCTGATCTTTGAGCATACATATATACACATACTTTTATCTAAAATCAGATACTCCTTCTCAAGGATAAGAAGCATTTGCATTTTATATTGGGGGAGAAATTTTTGAAAAATACGAATAGTCTCCTATAGTTTCATATGGATTTATACAGAAAAACTTTAATTGGTAATACAGAAATATACAACTATATGATATGTTTTTTAAAATACTTATATAGCTGGTGGGTCTTTTGCAGACTCCAGCGTATTTAACCAGGTAGATGGAATCAGCTTCTTTATCATGTACTGGTACTAGACAACATGCTAGTCTACCATATGATTAAAATCCAGTTATTATTCCAAATAATATTTATGTGATTTTTCTTAGACTTCTAGCACACCACAGTATATCAGTTCAAGGTTATCTGCTACTCTAGGGATTTTGGTTCCCTGGAATAAATAAAACTTTGTTAAAAATTATTCAGTGGGTCAACAAGTGGGACAATAGTCCCATAAATGGTTAAAATGTTGATATACACTGTTTGCTTCCTACTGAAAAATAAATATTATAGTTAGTTCTAGAATTTAAAAGTATTTAATTTTTTATTCATATTACAGTTTTGAAATCTAATTGCTGCTGACTGGGACTTTAACAGCAGGAGATAGGGAAATTAAAGGCAAGTGAGCATGTGAAGTACCAGAACACAAACTAATCGCCTTTATAATCTTTTAGGGATATATGTACAGAAACCAATTTTACCTACAAGGATCCCCACCCCTTGAAGTGAGCTTTGTATTTTGGGCAGTGTTTTCTGTTGCTGCAGAGACTGGGAACACTAGTTCAGCATTTTGGCTTCACTGCAGTCATGTAGAGCATGTGTCGTTCCAGATATATACAGAATTAGGAAACATGACCAAGAGTGGCAAAGAATTACATCTAACCTAAGTCATTTGAAAAGTATCTTTTCTCACAGATGTGTTGCCTAGAGTATATATTGATACAGCTTTTCAAAATTATACATGCACACCATGGAAAGTGTTAAGAATCAGAAATGAGTCAGCTGCCGTTTGCTCTAGTGCCACACTTGGGATAGTGATGGCCAGGCTTCCTCACTCCTAAAGCGTCCGTGAGAAGCCAGTTTCCTGGGGTTGTCAAAAAAAGGGGACAACTGTTCACTTGACGGTTCCAGGGTAAGAGCTACAAAGTGCTCATCGTGCTCCAGGCTGCTCCCTACGGGTCCTGGCCCTTGGTCAGAGTGTCACTGACCTGCAGGTGTATTGTCAAGTGGCTTTGCCAGTGATTGCAGGCTTAACCTATCAGAGAAGAGAAGGACTTGCTGGGAGCAAAAAGACAGCTTCCATTTGTGATTGTGGTCATTTTTCTCATTGCCATCCTTCTGTTTTTGTACTTTTTTACAGAAACTTTTGCTCATTTTTTAAGTTATATGTGTTTCACCAAGGTGAAATTTAATAACTGAGCTAATACTTCAGATAACGTAGCTGTGCATCTCAGGTAGAAACATTTAAGTCAAGTGTTATCAGTATGTGGGTATGTATTTTTCACCAAGGTGTAGTTCCCACTTTCTTATGTTCCCATAGCAATCTAAGACAAGCAGATGATTTTTACCTTTATGTACCACTTGGTACATTTCTTGGTACTACTACCATCTCCCCCGCACCAGGAAATGTTTCATCTCCTGAAATAGGGATGATTCTCAGGAGCGCAGAAATAATGCATATTTAAGCTTTCCTACTTTGTCTTTTAATTAAATATATATCTAGAAATAATATATTTTTGATGCTCAAGGTGAAAGGAATATGTGGGGGTAGAAGGAATAATTTAGAGCTTAAGAAAAGACAGATGCAAAAGTCTCTTGGATTCTAACCGAATAAAAGCATTGAAGTCCATTTTTGATAATCTGTTGAACTTAGAACTACTTGAAAAATATTTCATTTAATTTCAGGTTTTATTTTGTGTTTAAGAAAAGTCCAAAAGCATCAGGATGCAGTCATTTTTATTGCTGCCATTATCGTATTAAAGGCATTTGTTTTTATCTGAATGTGCAGAAAGTTTCTCACAGTATTTTCGATTAAATGTAAGATAGTATATGTAGTAGAATTTTGCTGTTTTTTCTATAATATTGACTCTCATATGCAGTTCTTTTTCAAACAGTGTTAATACTTTCTGTTTTTAAGCAGACGCTTGATTGTACCTTATAAAATAGAGGCCAGAATGGTAACATGAAGTTAATGTCTTTAATTATACAAACTTACTGCTGAGTTGAAATATTAATAATTTATGAATATATTTAAGATGTTTCTTTAATCTGTAAACATGTTTGTAATAACTGTCACATAAGATGATATTCTTGGAACAAACTTGAAAATGGTTGCATCTTTTCTTGCTGGGTACTCTCATTTTGTGAAAATTCCATTTATATGCTATGTGCTTTTTTCCAGATATATCTATTGTGATGAAATTGACTTGGCTGCGGACACAGTGCTGGCCACACTTTATGCTGCCAAAAAGTACATTGTCCCTCACCTTGCCAGAGCCTGTGTTAATTTCCTGGAGACTAGCCTGAGCGCCAAGAATGCCTGTGTGCTCCTTTCCCAGAGCTGCCTGTTTGAGGAGCCAGACTTGACCCAGCGTTGCTGGGAGGTAATTGATGCTCAGGCTGAATTAGCTCTCAAGTCTGAGGGATTCTGTGATATCGACTTCCAGACACTAGAAAGTATCCTCCGTAGGGAAACTCTGAATGCCAAAGAAATTGTGGTTTTTGAGGCTGCTCTCAACTGGGCTGAAGTAGAATGCCAGCGACAAGATCTAGCACTGAGCATTGAAAATAAACGCAAGGTCCTAGGAAAGGCACTTTACTTGATCCGCATACCCACAATGGCCCTTGATGATTTTGCAAATGGCGCTGCACAGTCCGGAGTATTAACTCTCAATGAGACCAATGACATCTTCCTCTGGTATACTGCAGCCAAAAAGCCCGAGCTACAGTTTGTGAGTAAAGCCCGAAAGGGCCTTGTCCCTCAGCGCTGTCACCGTTTCCAGTCATGTGCCTATCGGAGCAACCAGTGGCGCTATCGGGGTCGCTGTGACAGCATCCAATTTGCAGTTGATAAAAGAGTGTTTATCGCGGGCTTTGGGCTGTATGGTTCCAGCTGTGGCTCTGCAGAATACAGTGCCAAGATTGAACTCAAGCGGCAGGGCGTTGTCTTGGGGCAGAACTTGAGCAAATACTTCTCAGATGGCTCCAGCAATACCTTCCCAGTGTGGTTTGAGTACCCGGTGCAGATTGAGCCAGACACCTTTTACACAGCCAGTGTGATACTAGATGGCAATGAACTCAGCTACTTTGGACAAGAAGGCATGACAGAAGTTCAATGTGGCAAAGTGACAGTCCAGTTTCAGTGCTCCTCAGATAGCACCAATGGCACTGGGGTACAAGGAGGGCAGATTCCTGAACTTATATTCTATGCTTGAAAACTCACTTCCCCAAGCAGTGTGAGCTCTGAGGTGTACATCTGGTCCCTACTTGCTTGATGCTTAGCTTATCTGCAGATATGTGATCAACGCAGGTAATTTGTAATGAATGAAGCAGTAGGCAGTTTCTAATTTCTTTCAACCTTTTAATTATGTACAGGCAAAAATGCAGCATTCCGCTTTTAACTATATGCTTAGAAGAGCCAAGTTCGTATAAAGGCTTTGTGATTTTTTAGAGTTGTGTCTATATAGCTGGGGAGATTTTTTGCTCTCCAGGTGTCCCACCAACCTCCCAGTTTTGTCCCTCCGAAGGTAATTTTGAATCACCCTGAATTCCCTTTTGGACTTTATTTGATAAATAGAAACAAATAGTCTAAAATAATAAGAGTTATTTTTGAACAGAATCCCTCTACCCCCAAAAAAGCAGATAAACCTCAGTGTACAATTTTGAAAGAAGTTTTGCTTTGTAATAAGTAATAATGTAGAAGGTAGACATTAGTCATGTTTGGCTCTTATTTTATTCTTTTTAAATTTGTCTTCTGGGATATTTTTTTTTCAATCCTAAACTCATAAGAGTGTTACATATTAAATAATTCAAAGTATCAATGTAAAATAGGAAAATAAGGAATTGGGCATTTGTTTAGGCCATGACTTCTGCTATAAACAGATTTATACTCTTTCAGTTTAGAAGATGAAATATTGCAATACAGATATTTCTTTTAGAAGTAACTAAATTATAAAATTTTATTATCAATTTTAAAAAGTTGCAGTCCTACTAATTTAAATTGAAAAGGAAACCCAAAAATAGTCCTGTACTACAAATAGCTTAATTGATTCCACATTAGAATAGTTTGAAAAAGCCAAACTTTTTTTCTCTACTTAGCCTTTGATCCCTACTGTTTGCTTGTTTTTATAAGTTGTACTGTATAGAATTGTATTCCTTTATTCCCTCTTAAAAGGACCAAACAATTCTTTATATGAATGGAGTAACAGTTAGTTTTGTAGCACTACAAGTTAATGTGATATTTTTTTGTTTTGTTTTGTTTTGTCTGAAATATATTTTACCTGATCTACTTTGACCATATATTCTTTTCTTTGTGAATTATAATTCTGTCCTGTTCCTGGACTGCTAGAATCTGGCCTCTGGCCATCATAAAGTGCCAACATATGCCTGCAGGGTTTTCAGAAAATGGTCTGGAGCAACACATTTGATTATACCTAATAGTCACTGCATCGGTGTAACATCCAGCTTTCTTACTTGTCCACGGATAATGTAAACAAAGGAGGGAAAAGCTCATTAGAAAGTTCTCCTTCACTGATGGCTTACGTTGGTTTAGTGCCCGTGACCCTGGCAATGTCCACTGTGTTCGCTTTCAGCTGAAGTATCCATGTGTTTCTGGGCAGCTTTTCTGCTCAGCGTGATCCTGAGATGGCTTCCCCCATCACCCAGAGTGTGGTCCCTGGCCGCCTCCTTCTCCTGCTCTGCAAGCCCGAAACTGGCTTGTCTGGAGCCAGGGGTTAGTCCTGGGGTGTGTGTGTGCGCCACCGTGCGCATGCAAGTGTGTTTGCCAACTCAGGAATTGTCTCCTCCCTGCCTGGCTAGTGAGAGGTGGGACAGTAATGGTCCTGCTGGCCCCAGCAAGGCCCAACGAGTGACTGCCCCTATTTATTCACTGTATTTCTGGGCCACTTCCCCTGTAGACGTGGGCTTGCTGCCTTCAGCCGGCTTCCCTGAGGGAGGAAAACACTGGATTAGGGGAAATGTTTTAATCGCTTTTGCCGTTACCTATGTCTGTTAGCATAGATGATCAAAAGCTGTTACTGGTGATTACAGATGAGATGAGTACTCCCAGAGCAACTTTCCAAAATTGTCTAATGACTATTCTTATTAAGGAGATTATAGGTAGTAGTTTTGGCAAAGCTGAAATCGATGAAATAAAGGTACATTTTCAAATTAAAAAAAAATACTTAAAAGGCTTCTGTTTTTAAATTATGGTTAAACATTTCAGTAACTCATGGCTACCATGCAAATTGGTAGACCTGATTAGAAGGCACTCCTTTTTAAGCCAGAGGGGACGAAACTTTATTTACCTCTAATTTTATCCTATCATATTGTTGAGGTGGGTGTGAGAGCCTTAGAGGGAAGATTGTTCATTCACCAACATTCTCCTCAGTGCTCCTGTTAGCTAACTTCCTCCACGTGACTAGGGAACTGCTGGTGAAAGCCGCATGAGATCCTGTACACTGGGTATACAAGAACTTAATTTTATGTTAATTAGTATTACTTAAAAAAAAAAAGACACACCATCTAATTGGCTGGTGCCTACAACTGAGGGCAAAATTTGAAAATTGTATTTAGAATAAGAAATTTTACATTTAAAATCCTATTCTCCCTTCTGCATTTTTAGCAAAGTGGAATGAGGTTAATGTGCTTGCTTTATTTTCTTTTGTCATTTTGAATTTTGTAGCTTTTAAAACTAGAAAGCATTGTTCTAACAAGGCAGGCAGTTGTAATGTATAAACACAACTTTATTAAACAGAATATGCTGTAGATGCTTTTTCCAATGTACCTGGCAGTCTTTGTCATTGTTCCTACTGGGGATAAAGGGGAACTAGGCTAGCAGTTCTAATGTAACATTCTTTAAGCATATCTTAAAATAGTATTTAAGTAAATGGTCTAATTTCTACATAATTGCACTGAACTGTCATTTTTGTTTTTTAAGGTGTTTAAATAAGCTCAGCTAATTCAAGACACTGTGGCCGCTTGTGCGTCAGTGTGCTTGGATTTAGTAGCTTACAACATTATTTATGAAGGAAAAATATATAAATATGAAGTACCTCATGTTGAATGTTATTGTACTGTATTTTTAATGTAACAGTGCAGATCTTGTTAGACACCTGAATGTGTATAATCATGTTAAATGCAAATAAAATAAAACTAGTTCATAGATTTGTTTTCCTTAGCATCTTTGTGTCTCCCTTGAAATAGTAACAAATTTAATCTGGCACTCTTGGTGCCACTACATTTTGCAGAGATGGTTTCACAGGAGCATTTGTTTGCTAAGTATCCAGATATCTTTGATCCCTAAAGAAGTAAAAACTTGAGGCAAAAACATAAGAGATCAATGAGTATGTTAATCAGTGGTATTGTTCAAAGCCTGACTTTTAAGTTATTGAGAGAGAGTGAATGGATGCATTTATATTCCCTTGTGGCATTTGTGGTTGGCTGCCATTGTGAAACTATGGTTGCTTAAATCTCTGGATCTCCCTTTTCTAAGAGATGTTAATACTGAATGACATCTGACTTTTGATGCGACCAGTGCTGCTCCTCCTTGGGTTGTAGTAGCTTAAGTCTAGGGAAAAAAAAGTAAATACCATGTGAGAATTTTGAATGCGGATTTTATGTGTTCAACTAGTTTTTAATTACATTTCCATATATCAAATACATATATACACCTGTACTCATACACATGTACACTTTTTTTCCCCCTCTGCAGTTTTTTCTGATGCTTTTCTCCTGCAGTTTATTGTGAAACCTTGTATGTTTGCTTAACCACTTCATCTACTCAGGATTCAGTTTCTATAGCCTACCTTCTCAAAAGAGTTTTGGAATTGTTCCAAAGAATAAAAGAACTGGAACTCTCTATTCTCATCAGTTTAATCACAGTTACAACCTGAATTGCAAAGATCTTTAATCCAGGAAACCCCAAGCCATTATCTCTTCTTTGCTGCTACTTAAACTTAATCCACATGTTTGTTTTTATTATCCCAAGACAATTGGGAATGATCCTCCTCCATGGTTGGGACTGGAGTTCTACAAAGTACACTTTATTTCCAGTTGACTGTGTGACTCGCTTGTGAAAGCCATCGCCTTAAATGTGGGAGAAAACAGGAAGGAGGAAAGCATTCCTGAGGAACTAAATGGTGTAAAACTTGGAGGCAAAGCAAGTGGCCCTGTAAACTGGTTATCTTAAGGGTTTGTTAGAGCAGGGTTATGAGTGCTGTTGAGGGAAGATGTGCACACTTTTTGGATTTCTCATTAATACACTTCGGCATTTTTTCAGAGCCATTTGCATTTATTGACCAACTACTCCCTTTGGGCTACATTTATCCTCTACATTTTCAGAATATGTACTCTAACAAAACGAATGCTAGAGAAGTAGAATTTCCTCATTTATTTCCATAACCAACATAAGCACTGGTCACAAAGTTTCTCAACCAAGAAATTGCCAGGTGGGTGAGATGAAATATCTGTGAAGAAGAGGTGGAGAGCGTGGCTGACCCTGCCACATACCAAGCAGTGTAAGGTGCTGGCAGGTTCAGATTGATCTCCGAAGAATGTTTGGGTATAGTTCCCACTTGGGTATTTCCCTTCTCATCACCTCTCACCCACCCACCCCCACTCCCATTATCTCTTCTAAACTTTTTTGGAGGCTGGAGGCTGGTGGAGAGGGTGTAATTGCTACTTGTGCAGATGCTATCCTTATCGTTTCCTTTTTGCCTGTCTACTTAAATGGGCCAATGGACATCAATTTTACTAGCAGATGTTACTTTATACTCTGCCATCCAAAAAGTCCCTAATCTCAAGACTTGTAGTTCAAACAACCCACTCTTTACTTTGTCAAATCTATACATAGAACATAATGAAAGTCATCTATTAGACTACTGGCCCTTAAAAACTAATTTACTCTTTATTTACTGATTTCTCTTTAAGCCGTCTTTGGAAGCAACCAGAGTGGGTATGTGTTAAAAGTTACTATAATGATGAAATCCTTTTTTCACTTCATGTGACAAGAGTACTGAAAATTATTTCAAAATTAAGGCATACTTTTTGTTTTTATGACTGGTGGGAAGTTTTATATTTAATAGACTGTTTCCTTTACATCAGTGGTTTTAGAGGAGTGAAATTGCACCTGAAAAAATTAAAAATAAGTCATATTAGTAGCCTTGTTAATGTTAACGAAGTTCTGCAATAAATCTATGAGCAGCATAAAGTATGAAGACTTTATGTTCTGTGAGAAACCAGAAAAGTCTATGAAATAATATTTTGATATGTAGCAGTCTTTACTGTGGCTATACAATTTGCATTTTTCTTCCTAAACTACTATGTTCCCAAAATAGTCAAAAGATAATGACTATTTTAGGAAGCTCAAATAATCTTTCAAAGCTTGAAGCAGAGGGTAGCACCTTCTGCTACACTGTAGACTATGTAAAAATGTACTTTTGAGAGACATTCTATATATCTTAGGGAATTTTCATTTTTGTGCTTGTCTTAAACAGTTCTAAACTCTGAATTATTTCAGCACCCTTTATAATAGTGTTGAAACAGTGCACTGAGCCTTAACCAATTCAAAATTAAAAGCTGTGATAGATCTTCACTCTTAAAGAAAAATTCCAAGAATATTTGGAAGCATTAATGGACTAAAGAATATTTATAGTGTTTCCTATATAACTTAGCTCCGCAAAAGAGACAGAGGTTTAATGAATCATTCAAAGGATCAACCCACCATTCGTTCATTCATTGATCATTCATTGATCTTTTGCCTCATCCCAGGCAGTCACAGAGGTGCCGGGGAGACAGAGGCCAGTAAGAGGTGTGCAATGTGATCTGAGAAACTGATGGTCCAGCGCAGTGGTGCTCTACTGTCAGCATACAGAAGAACCATAGATTGCTGGGCCCCACCCTTAGAAATTCTGATTTGGCAAGTCTTAGGAGGGACTTGGGCGATTGCGTCTCTAATAGGCTTCTGCCTGATGTTTGTGCTGCTGTCAGATCATCAGATGGCACTGAGTGGCATTGATGTGAGGAGTGTGTAGAGGAGGGGGCTGTGTGGGCTACATCAGTAGTGCTAAGGGATAGTAGTGGAATGCCTGGGGCTACTACAGGATCACTGGAAAAGGGGCACGCAGCCGCGGGGCAAAGTTTCCCGGAAGAAATGATGCTTGAGCTGGGTTTTGAAGGATGCATCATTAGAATTATCTAGGTGAAGACTGGTGATGCAGATTGTCATGGGGGGCAGTGAGTGGGTAAAAGGAATTCTAGAAGAGAGATTTCATAGATACAGTGGCAAACAGCTCAGTATGTGGCTCCAGTAAAGGGTACGGGTGGAAGAATGAGGCCAACTACTGTGCCAGGTTTGGAATCGGATAAGGACTTGGGCAGGAGCAGGAGGCAAGTGCATCAGGGGTTGGACTTTGATCCACAAAACAAAGCAGTGACATGGAAAGGATTTGAGTATTGATGAGACAACAGTTTTGTGTTTTTAGAGCATTTTGAACTCTGGGAAAGATAGAATTGATCAGGCTGGAGGCAAGAGGAACAGTTAGGACTGTAAAAGCCATGCAAATCAAGACCAAACAGGGCATGGGATGGAGAGAAGGCTGAAGATGCTAGAACTGGGGAGGGGAGAGCCCCAGGGTGCGGTGGAGCTTTTCAGCCTCCAGTTTGAAGGGGGCTTGCTGAAGCTGGAATGCAGCCTCTTGCTTACATTTAGCCTAATGGAGAGGGAAGAAAAACCATGTTTCCTCTAAGATCCTCTGTGGACAGCTGGTTTATAGATACCCATCTTTGATTCTATCTTTATATTCTTTCAGAAAGAAGATAAGAAAGTTGACACACGTTAATAGCTCAAATCCTGGAGCAGGACTGCCACCTGGGTTTTGACCCTGGCTCTAGCTGCATGTGACCTTGGGGAAGTTACTTAACCTCTCTGAGCCTCAGTTCCCTCAAGAAAGATGGCAGTAGCAATAGTTCCTTCCCCCTTGCTGGGTTATTATGATGATTAAATAAATTAATATTTCTAAAGCACTTAAAAACAATACCTCGCAAACAGGAAGTGCCATATAAGTGTTGATTCAGTGAAACAAAATGTTAAAAGACCAAAAATTAAACCCATGCACTTTTCTCATTTATGCATTTATGAGAACCAGTTTACTTTTAGTTTATACACATTTTTAACAATTTGTCAATGCAGACAAGTTATTTTGTTGCTGTTTTAAATTGCCATGGTCAATAGTTATGGAGATTATAAAGCTACAAAGAGCTGTAACATTGCTGAGGAATTCTCACACTTTAACTAAATTTCTAATAAATACTTCAGTTTTGTCATGTTAATGAGAGATAGAAATGATTTATTCTGATGTAGGTGGATTCTAGCACATCAGATGCTTTTTCTGCTAGAGAATTGTCTAGGATACCTCAGAAAATTACTCTGTAAAAGCTGAACGTGTGATGCATAAGGAGTTTTTGAGATATTTTCCAAGAGGAGTCTATTTTGCAGGTATAAAAAAGAAAATCCCCTTTTCTAGATCTGCTGGAGTCAAAACAAACTTCTCTTTTGTGGCCTACAGCCGTAGGCAATTTTGGATATTACCCCTTCTCCAAATATTTTGGAATTAAAATCAGTTTTAGTATTGGAATTATTTGTTGTGTGTTGAAAGCAGGTTTGACCTTTATAATGAGTGATTAATGTTACAGGGAATATTTGAATGGCTAATTTTTTTATTCAAGTAAACACAGGTGTGCCAGAAGCTCTGTTTGGGTGCCCCATGGCTGTTGCCACCTCATTTTCTCCTTCCCCAGGAATGTCCCCATCTGCAGCCTCTAATCCTTGAGCCAGTGCTGGGGCCTTATTTGCCTAGGGCCTTGTCATCACAGAAGTTAATTCCTGCTCCCCTTTTCAAGACTGAATTCTCCTCTCTTTTGCAAAATAAACCTACAAGAACTTTGCCCACCAGAGATTCTCATTTAGGAGGACTGAGATGGAGCCAGCCACCTTGTTTATGTGAAACTGGAGAAGGGGGTGGTCGGTATTCTGATGATGCATATGAGAGGTTGAGAACCCTGATGTCAACAAATCCTGGAACCTTCCCTCACACCCCAGGGACTTCTAGCCTCAGCACCCTGTTCCTTGGTGGGGACCCTGGCACCACACATTCTCAGAGATCAGT